GGTTTGTACAAATGATTTTGTATTTGGTCGGATCTCGGAGCCGTGGATCCTCATAGCGCTTCGCAACACCGCTCGCCTCCAACTTCTCGCGAGCCTCTGCAGCCCTAAGCGTCTGAGCGCGAACGAAATCCTCTGGCATCTTGTCCCCCGCCGGCAGCGACGCAAGTTCGGGATCGAAGGACCCAAGCGGCGATGCTGTGGGCAACTCGGCATACCCCTCTTGAACCCGAAGCTCCTCAAGGGCCTTGGCCGGAAAGCTTGGGCGCCCTTTGCTGGTGGCCTGATGATTCAGAGCGGATCTGGGCTCCAGGCCCCTGCGTGGGCGGCCATACACGACTGAACCGTGCGTTCAACCTCCTCCTATCCTCTGTCGGCTCTTCCGTGAGAAAAGTCCCAAGGGTGGCAATGTATGCTGTACATGAGGTAAAGGGAATATATATCTCTGTCTGTCTTCCGAGTGTTGTCCAGTCCTCGACTGCTTGCCGCCCTTGCGTCTTGCGACCTCCCTCTCCTCTTGAGCCTTCCTCAAATTCTTGGCCAAAGATGCTTCCCGCTCGGTCTCCTCCTTCACATGGGTAAGCAGCTCCGGACAGATCATCAAGGTCGAGAACTGGCGGGTGACCCCGCCAAAGGTTGTCTGCTCCTCTAGCGAAAGCCTTCCAACAACTGACTTGGCCATCTCCCGTGCCTTCTCTGTCCTGCGCATAGGAGTATATGCCCACACATTCTGATGCCAACCACTTCAACTCCCCAGCAGCAAAACCAGCCTCCGGAGCGCTGCTACGGCCGGTGCTGCCGGCGCCGGTGCTGGTGCCGCACCTCTCTGAAGATCTATCAGGCGCCTTGCCTCGTCCCTGAAACCCGCCATGTCGTTGATGGTGAAGACCGGTAGGGCGTAAACCTCAGCAGCCGTCACTCCACGTGGGAGGATTCCAGGTCCAGGGCGAATCATCATGCTCCTGATGTCCGAGTTCAGCACGGTCAAGTCTTCTAGATACACATCCCTGTCTGGGGTCACTATTGCATAGGTGTTATTTTGATAGTGCTCCAGGACATACCTTTCGTGAAGTAGTCGGCCACCTCCAACGTCATACTCGATCCGGTGTGCCAGGGTCTTCCAGTGCTTCTGTAATCTGCTGGCGCTGCCGCCAGAAAAGGCCAATCAACACCAATGCAAGCAGAATCAAACACATTGTAAACAACCCAGAGCACGCACTCGATGTTGCACTCCAAAACTTTCCCCAGCCCGGTGCCCTCAAACCGTCCTCCGAAACCAGTGGCGGATTTGAGGGGTTTCCGACCGGAGGAGGAGTAGGAGGATCTGGCACAGTCGACACCTGATCTTGCAAAGTCTGATGGAGGTCAAGCGAAGCTTGGAGGTCCAACACCTGTGCTTGCATTTGTCTTTGCTCTACAATGCTCCAGCCAACCAACCCGAGACCAAACAAATGCAGCGCAAGGAAGTATGGCACAACCGCGGAGTGAAGTCCTGCACCCATCAGACCCTTGTTGCTTGAGAGCGGTGTCACGGCGGCCATTCGTAATCGACCGGCTCCTCAAACCTGTCAAGACAAATATTATAATATGTATTAAAATATTGATCTAAGGCTAAGGAAAACACGTTCAACCGCCACAATGGTTGTAAACATTGCAAGAAGAAACAACCGAAACAACAACACTAAAACACACACGGTCGCTACTTCTCGGGCCTTCATGTAAAAAAGCTTCGGAAACGCACCGTCTCAGGTACATGCGCGCGAAACGAAAGTACGTCGTCACAAGCACTGCAAGTGTGTGTGCGAATGCATCGAAGCAACTGTAATTGAAAGAAATACGTCGTAATGCACGAAGGAAATGTCTCAGTGAGGTACGTATAGTATAAGTGCATACGTACATCACTACAAGCACCTCATGACCCCCCACCCCAGACAACCAAAAAACAAAGTACGTGACAGGCGCAAGGGTGGCATATCAGCCGCGGACCACAAACAATCAGTTGTCCAGATTTCTATCGGCAACAGTGAGAACTCCTCAATTGCACAAAACAAAAAACACATTTACAATTTCCTGTACCTTTCTGGTGCACAGCAGCATTGTGTCAGAAGGCAACTATGTTCATTGATCCAGCCTCTTGAGAAGGTTCATGAGCCTGAGAAATTGAGAATGACATGTTCAACCATTGTATTTGAATATCTAGCGACCGGTGCGGTCGACTCCCACCTCATCAAGGAGTGATTCCCACTCGGAGCTGGAAGGAGTCACGGCGGGCCTGGTTCACTCTCCGAAGCTGCCGAAACCGCTCTCGGCCTTCTTCGTAGCGATGCCAGGAGCCCCTAGTAGCTTCTTGTTACTCCTTAATAAGGATGGTCAGTAATCCTTAATAAGGAGGCCCTTACATTTGGTTGTCTGTTTTCAGGTAAGCCCTCTACATTGATCCAGTGCTTGTACTTTGGGTTCCTCGAAAGCAAGCGAAGACTTCAAAGCTGTGGCGAAATGACTCCGTCTTTCCAAATCGCTCCCGAGCGCTTCTTCAAGGAAGCTTGGGAGCTTCCCCAGCTTCCTTGAAGAAGCGTGAGCTATCCGTCCTAGTAGCGTTCTTGTTACTACTAGTAAGGCACTTGTTACTAGTAGCCATGCACTTGTTACTACTAGCTACCTCTCCCTACTAATACTAGCTACCTCTCCCTACTAGCTACCTACGGTCTGAAAAGAAGCGTTGCAAGTTGCACATGCGTTGCACATCGCAATCAGTCTCTGCTCCTTCGCTGTAAGTATGAGGGCGCGTTGGCATGCGGGAACCTTCAGAGCCTGGTGTGAGATTGTGACATGTATTTTCTTCAAACAAGAAATTAGGGCCTTGAGCGCCTTAAGGGCCTAAGAACGCAACCTTTAAAGAGGCCCTCTTAAAGGGGCCCTTTCTTCCTGACTTGTCCCTTTGTAGCGTACGTTGATCGTTCTTACAACAGCAAAGCGTGGCAAAGCATCCAAGACCGAATCAGCCATGTCCGATGCAAGATGAAAGCAAATGACAAAGCCAAAGAAGCAAAAAGAAGCAACAGAAAAATACAGCAAATGAAGAAGCAAGTTTGGTTGAAGCAAATGCTTCTTGAAAAATAGTCTGGACATGATAACAAGAGCGCTTTCTTTCAGACTTGTCGGCAAATAAAACATAATACTTGTCGCATCGTTATATCTGTTTCGCGTCTCTTTTGTCGTCTTTCTTTGTACCCTGCCTTTCTTTCGTTCTTTCTTTCTTTGTTTTCTTTTGACATCTTTTGACCTTTCTGTTCTTCCTTTTCTAGAATCTTCTCTCCGACAGCGCGTTGTACCCTGAGACGCCGACAAAGGGATGACAAGAGACGGCCTGGTACCGGAGATCCTTTTGTCTCCGATGGATGGGCAAGACCAAATGCAGCCTCCAAGCACTAGCAACAAAGAGCAAACGGCTTTTATGCATGGCCTGCATAAGTTGATTCGAGTTGAAGTCTAAGTTTTGGAGGTTCTGAGTCTCCTATTGGTTTGTCCTGCAACCTGCAGCAAAGACAAGCAACTTGCACAAATGCTTGAGGGGTGGCCTATATTGAGGCTTGTACGAGATCAAACCTCCTTTGGTGCTTCTTTTGTTTGTAGACCGAGCAGCGGCCATTTGGAAGATGACAAGGCACGGCAAGATCCACGCTTGTTGCCTCAGAGTCAGGGTGAACCCACCTTCCAAGCCGTGATCAAAGTGGATTCAATGAGTTCCAATGGCCTCCAACCTAATAGCGACGGCCTCCAACCTATTAGTTGGACTATGTGCACATAAGATGATGAACTCAAAGTGGGCCTTGTATGACCGTCACATAAGGTGGCAAGATCTGCACCAGGACTTATCCAACTGTGAGCCGTGAAACGGCCAAAAGAGATGCAAAATGCGAAATGAGCTTCAGATCATTGGGAGCCGACGAGTCAAAGGCTACACGCTCTTTCAAACCGGTTGGCTCCTTCATTTTTTGGCCTTGCTTCGCTACGGTCTCATATTCGGGAGCATTGAAAGATACCCTATCTAAGGGCACATCTTCCAAATTGCCGCTACCGCATTCAATTCCATTTGATCCTAAAAAGGCTTGTATCAGCATCGCTGATGCAAACTCGATTACTGTATATATTTCTCATGCTGACTCATGGGAGCAAAATGAATTCACTTTTCATCACGTGAAGAGTTGAATAAAGTTGAACAGTTATGTACTTCACAATGATCTCACGCTCAAAAAGTGATTTGGTGTGACAACCGCCAAGAACTTTCACTTCACACACTGTGTGGCATGTTCTGGTAACATGGTCAAGCAATGTCGGGTGATCCGATTTGATGCCATCTGTCATGCCAAGACATATCATGTAGGGAGTTGGAGGCCATCGCTTGTGGGATGGAGGCCATTGCTATTGGGTGGAAGGCCATCACTCTTAGGTTGGAGGCCATCGTTCTCAGGTTGAAGGCCATCGTTCTTATGTTGGAGGCCATCGCTCTTGGGTTAGTAGGTTGGAGGTCATGTTTGATGTTTCGCCAGGTGTGAAGAGCCATTGTGCAAAGTACTGTATCGGGCATGTGTGATGAGCCTGACTTGAGATGTGGCGTGATGAATCGCGATGTGTCCGAGTGGCATCCAGTTTGACATACCTGACATTGAAGTTTAGAAAGCTGTGTGAAGGCTAGCATAAGCAACCAAGATTCTTAGACCTTCAGTTGGTCACCGAAGAAAAGAAAGCCAGCTGCATGCACGGCATTGCACAGCTATGCATGAACGATCGTCTCATATCTGCATTTCCTAGCGAGCACATCAAGAACAAGTCCAGGATCCAAATCGAATTCCTTAGGTCAAAGGAAACACTCTTTTTGTTCGCGCTTCCGTGCCGATGCACTTTGGCTGAAGGTGAGTGGCTCCATTGCTAGTGCTAGACAGAATCGGGAAATATGACACATTTGTTTTGAGGAATTTGAACATGTTTTGTCCCGCTTGTGTGTTGTAACCAAGGCTAGCGGCTAGCACTACTCTCCTACCCACTCATTCCAGCCACTACCTGGATTATCCCAAGGCCCGGATGGCGTAGACTCCTGCTTCACAGGTGCCTCAGCCTCCTGAAGCACACACGGAATGCGAAAAACTCAGGCATATGCCTAGCACGCTTTAGACGGAGACGAAAGGGGGGTAGGCTAAGACGGCGAAAAGGAAAGAAAATACCCTCCTAGCTGGAGGGCTTGGCAGCTAGCCTACTTGAAGAACCCTTCGCAAAAAGCACTTGGGGTCTCCTGCTCTTTATTTTGAGCATGCCACATCTCCCACGCTTCTTGGGCTGCCTCTAGGCATCCATTACCTCAAATGCGGTGCGCACACAATCAGACTTTTAGACATGGAATGCACCTTTGGACTTTGAGTTCGGCCGCGTCACAAACAAAGTCCGTCTGTGCGAATTGTGACCTACCTGGAAGGAGATTCATCAAGCACACGCCCAGCCCAAAAGTGGGTGCGAATAGACCCAACATGATCTCAAAGCATCTCACCTTCTTCTCCGTGCAACTGGCCAAACGCTTGGGGGCACTCGCGTTCACACCAGCCGCATTGCACTGCAGCCCCGGGATTGGGATACCAAAGGTCCTGCAAGTTCCAAATGAAGAATTTCGACGTGTCATCTGCCCCGGACCTGTTTTGCAATCAAAGGAATCACTGCGTCCTCTGAGCGATGGCTCTCCACTTGGATCAGCTGTTTCAGCCCTTAATTCACAACGAAAAAAGGCTTTCGGGTTGCGAAAGGAGTGGTGGCTGGCAAGTTTCCGAGCAAGTTATCTCCAAAACAGTGTTGAAAGTAGACAGCACACATCTTCGATAAACAAAATCAGCAAACAAACTAGGACACCCAAGCAAAATCAAATCAAGAAAAAACAAGAAAGCCATAAAAAAAAACCCACACATTTCAACAGGAAATGGGAGGAGTTGGCACGAAGACCAATCACGGCCCTTGGACGTGGGATTTGCAACCCACTGGTGCCGCTTGGAGTGGCAGCTTCGAGGGAGGACTTAGGACTGCAAACGAAAAACGTTTTGGTAAACGTCAACCGTTTCGGCCATGCAAAGACTTTTTTTCGTTGCCTTTACTCGCCAACTTGGCCTTTTTCTCCCTTCGCAACCCTCAAAGCTTGAGAGCACGCTGCCAAGCACCAAACCAAATGATCAACACGTGGCACTTCGCACCAGCAACGCCACAACTGACTACCACACGACATCGACAACAAGTACACAAGCCCCCGAACAACATGCGGTCAATTGTTTTGCTTTCACATGGGGTACAGAGAGAAAACCTGTTGCAGCGCCAAAAAACATGACTCGCTTTTGTCCAATGGGGTCTTCAGCCATGGTTCCCAACAGCCAGCGAAGCTTATGGGGTCTTTAGAGTAAAGACTATGGAGCAGATCGGAGCAGGTCCCAGTTCCGGAGCAGCATCCAGAGCAGACTTATTGACGAAGTTAAAGTCTGCGCATGTTATGTGCCAACGACTGGGGTCGTGGCTAAGCCGTGTGTCAAGCTCCTTTGCGCGGCCACCCACTTGGAAAACGCAAGCGCTTCGATTCAAAATGAAAAAACCTGAATTCCGTTGTGTTTCGACCAGTTCGTTCAAAAACGCGCGGCTCCTAGATAACATCTAGTAACGCCCCACTTCTTCGCTGCGCATTGGGCGTTCAGGCGGGGCAAGGCTTCATGAACTTTTGCGTCCATGCGCTTATATCACGGCGAAAAGTGCACGACAACATCCTTGGCCAAGCCGAGATCCATCTACGTCAACACACATCATGCCAGATGACCGAAGTTCCGAAAAGAACAATGTGACAGCTGGCATATTTCCGAATCTTTGTAGCTCATGTTGTGGCGCAGCGTGTTCCTATTCAAGGTCTTGCTGAAGTTCTCTGCAGTTGGTGAAAAATCAATCGCCCAGCTACCCAAACTTGAAAAGTTCGCCCAAAGTCTTTTGAGGCGCGTCGAGGACCTGCTCTTGCCTGCTGCGCGCGGCTACGCTGAGCTGTCAGCAAGGGCCACTCAGGAACAATGACGCGCATTGACGCCGCAGGTCGGCGTATCCACCCAGGCAAGTGAAGCGCAAAATTCGCCTTGCTTTGTTGCGGGCATTCCCTCAGCTCCGCACCTCGGCGTCCAACCAAGGCGAAGGTCACGACGAAATCTGTCGTTGCTGCACATGCCAACTCACAAGACATAAGGCAAGAAGAGAGGGGCTACTCAAATTCAACACAACCTCCTCGTTGGCGAAGTGAAGCTGACCGGACAAGAGCGGGAATCCAGCCCGGCAACAAACAAGTCTCAAGGGTCACCTTGCCAGTCAGCCACACTACCTGCAGGGCTGGAGGCCTGCAGGCCTGCTCATCCAGCAACATAGCTCGGAAGGAAGCCCTCGCTGATCCACCTCCACTTTTCGCGGCGGCGCCACAGAGGGGCTCAGCTATGCGCCAAGCCAAGTTGCTTCTTCAAGAGCCCCCTCGGTGTGTCATCAAACGCCCCCTGCTTGCTGTGGATGACATCTCGCACAGAAGAATGGAAGAGTGGATCACAGTGCCCGCTTGCCGCAGGACGTCAGCCGCAGTGACGGACCAATCGTTGGAGGACATCCTTTTGGACTGTGGCACAAGAGCCCAATGACATGGCAACCGTCGAGCTGTTTGTCGAGTCAGTCAAGCACACCAATGCAGTGACAAACAGCGACAGCTCCAGCTGCGCAGCTATCCAGTCCTGCAAAGGAGCTTAACGGGAAGAGAAACCGCCCGTCAGCCAGAATCCATGCTGCAATCTCCAAAATATCACTGCGAATTCTGAAAGAATGGAGGTCTCGAGCCACAAGCAGCAACGGCAGACTCTGGCTGCTAAAGTATTGCTTGTTGGTTTGCCTTCAATTTTGATTGCTTCACGCTGAGATTGCATTTGCTCTGCAAAAATGCAACGAACAATATCTGTCCCATGATTGTCTGTCCCATTCTGTTTGTTCCAGCAGTCCCTGTATGAAGGCATTTTGACAATTGGGGAAAGACTGCAGCGCCCAGGATGTCTTTTTGGCCCCCAACCGGTTGGATCGTCCAATAGATAGCCATCCGCAGCACCGATCTGCACAGGTTCCCGAGGCGAAGGATATGGTACGCCTTCTCGTTTCCTCTTTTTGCGCTTTCCCGTTTTCTTTTGGACTGAAAGAGACATCTTGAGACGTCCTGAGACCTGTTAATGACATTCTTTTGTGTGAGATCTTTGGGTCTGGATCACCCAGCCCATCATGGCCCATCTTTCAACAATTCAAAATGCATCTGGAATCACGAACTGAGGCAAACAGGAGAACATGTTCCTCCCAAGATGCGTGCTCCTTTGGTTACAAATTGGAAGCTGGCCTTGGCAAAAGAAACGGAATTTCTTTGTTGCTGCTTCTCGCCACGTCTTATATTTGATCGGGCTGGCGGCAAGCTCCTTGCACGAACTGACTGAGTCCACGAAATGTGTTTTTCTTCCTTTACTTGCTGCTACTTGCTACTTTATGTCTTTTCTTTACAAAAGTCTTTGCACCATTTTGCACCGTTTGTTCTTTCTCCTCTTGGCATCGAAACTTGAACACGACCGAAGGGACAAGCTGAGCGCAATCACTCCTATGCATTGGCCGGTTGGTTTCTTCACACACCACCTGCTCTGCGCAGGTTTCTTCTGCATCCGCATCCTCGGCCTCCAGCAGCATGGGACCCTGTCACACTACACTAGCACGAGCCTGCACCTTGCACTAGGCACGTTACATTTCTGCATTGGGGGTACCTTGGAGTAAAGTTTGCATTTTCGAGACCTGATCTTACATTCTGAGGCCTAAGTCAGTGATACTTCCAATGATGGTGAATAGAAATGAAAACAGTTTTTCAATCTCTTCTAGTTTGTGATGTGGTGGTTGTCTGCTTTGATTTTGCGTGCACAGAACAATCCTCGAGTACACTTTTGTTGACCTTGCTCGATTTCTTGCTCAAATCTTCTGCGTGTTTTGTTAATCTCTATCTTTCTGCATATATATATACATCTAGTATATATATATTTTTTGCTTTCTGGGGCCTCTATTCTTGATCGGAAGAGACTAGTTATCACTACCTTCGCTTACTTCACCTTCTCGCTTCGCATTTCGCGCCCGCAGGTTTGGTGCAACTCTCAAACGATGAGAACCCTCCCTCCAACCGAATTTGCGCCCCACCTCCTCGTCCGACAAATGCTCAGACCACGGCCTAACAGCTAACAGCGGAACTTGTAAACTTTACAACTGAAGTCCGCAGTGTACAACTCAGAAGCAAAGCTTGCGAAAACATGAAATGGGAAGCTTGACTCCAGCGGTTGAAGACAAAGACAAAAAGGCAGGGCCAAGGAGGAAGCTCAGGTTGCCTGAAAACGTTTCATGGGGTGGCTGCAAGCCGTGCTACAGTAACATGACACCTTGACATGTTGAACCTTGACATGACAGCCAAGCAAGACTGAACATGAAGAAAGCTGGTTGCTCTGAAACTGATCGTGGTGCATCGCACCATCGACTTGATGGTCAGGCTGAGTACACGGTAACAAACGATGAAAGTTGCCAGTGCCAGCAACCCAAGTGTAGTGAACTCTGACTGGTGGAAGGAGCAGCAAATCAGCCATGAGTCGGCACCCGCATGAGGAAAAGCATCCGGACGAGGAAGCTCGAAACAATCCATGTCGAGGAGGAGGATGGGTGAGGATGAGTAGGAATGAAGGGGGTACGGGTAGGGTGGCACATGAAGTCGACAAGCTGGATATGAATCCAATCACACAGTTGCATGGCACAATTGACGAGAAACTGATGCATACCAGGGGGAGTTGAACCCAGTTCACAACGGTTCTGGTTGTTGCTACCCAGTCGTTGGACAAATCGGACAATCAAAGGAACATAGACATGGGAAACTCACCATCTTTCTGCTGGTCACGTTGGCGTTGGGAGGCGCTAACTCCGTTGGGGTTCTTGGATCCGAGGTGTTGGGGACGGGGGTTCTGGGGGCGCTGGGGGCGGAGGCGTTAGGGTCTTACATTGCGCCGCTCCAGCTCTTAGTCACAGTGCCAGCTTCGACGGCGTGAAATCATCGCTTGGCATAATGCGTCTCGGCCCTTTTAGCCTCTAGGGTGCCTTCAATGTCAAAGATGGATAGGAGAGTTTTGCAAGCCATGCTCCCACCTTTTTCGCAGCATGTCTTACTCTCTGTTGTGCAAGAACGACCTTCCGGCCCGCCGTTGACCTCTATGCCGCAGCCCCTTTACTCATTCCTCGCACTATCAACACCAGCTTTCGCCCAAAGAGTCGCTTTCTTAACCTAAGGTAACAAAAATTCATTCTCAAGGGTTTGGACCTCTCATGTTGGCTACAAGTCCACCTTTCAGCTCGCCTGTCGGCAGCCCAAGACTCGTGTCTGTCATTGCCTGCAACCTACTAGCGATGGCCTCCAACCTACTAGTGATGGACACCAACCTACTAGCGCTGGCTTCCAACCTATTGGCGATGGCCTCCAACCTACTGCGATGGCCTCCAACCTACTCGCGATGGCCTCCAACCCACTTGCGATGGCTTGCAACCTACTGGCGATGGCCTCCAACCTACTAGCGATGGCCTCCAACCTACTGCGATGGCCTCCAACCCACTTGCGATGGCCTCCATATCATCACAATTATATAATCACATATCCATGTAGTTTTGTGGAGCTGGGTCAGCGCTCATGTCGATCGCGAAGCGAGCTATAGGAGTCGTGAAGCAAGCAGCGATGGATCGCGCTGGTTGGTGGCTCATATCCGCTCGAGCGGGTGATCGCGATTCCACGTGCCAAAAACCTTGTTCCTGTGTTTTCAGTCACTGAGACTGATGAAATAGAGTCTCAGTGTTGACCATACAGGGCTCCCCAAAACTTGCTAAAGACAATGAGAACGTGGTAACAAGTGCATCGCTACTAGTAACAAGTGCCTTACTAGTAGAAACAAGAAGCTATTAGACAAATTAATCACGGGAAACGCAAGTTGCTTTGCCTTCGGCGCTTGGCACACCACGTCAGTGGCCTAGATTCGCCACGCTTGGCCGGCCTACATCTCGCAACCGTGGTGAGGTGCACCCGCAAACAAAACCAAACATGTCTTTTAGTTCACAAACAAAACATCGTGTTCACTTCTCCCAAATGCAGCGCAGCTTTCTCATTGAAATCACACTGTCAGGGCTCTGGCCCTTTTGGGTGGTGGGCCACACACACAATGCTCGACCCTTTGCTCAAAGCTGCACGACTCCACAATGCTCCAAACAACTCATTGCTAGCATTCTCAATGAAAAGGTGCTAGGGCCTTTTTACCAGATTCGTGCTCGGGATTAAGTGGCAGAAGAATCAAACTACCTCTGGCGATATTTTTGAACAGGACAAAACGGCGAAAATACCTTGTACAGTAGTCCTTTCAAAAAAAGGAAGGGCCTTTGTAACAAGGCCCCTTAAAGGTGACCTTATTTCTTGTCTTCTCGAGAAGGGTCCGCTCAACATCCACGGGCCCACGGGTTGTCGCGCACGAGCTCCAGGGACAAAATGGAGAGACACAAGAGATAAGATCAAATTAGATAAGAAAAGATAAAGCAAGCTAGGGGAAGCTAGGGCAAGATAAAACAAGCTAGTAGAAACAAGTGCATCGCTTCTAGTAACAAGTGCCTTACTAGTAGTAACAAGAAACTACTAGTAGCAAGT